GCTTCTTGATTGTCAATTCTGTGTCAAAGCTGAATAAAGCCAGTTTTAAATTGGAGTCCCTTTCAGATTGGTGACAGTTCGTTCAAATCCATAATGGATCAGCCTTACATATGCATCATGCTTTTATTGGATGAAATATTTCAACTACATTATTTTATAGACCTTTTCTTCATTGTAGGATTTTCAATTTATCATACTTTAGTTTTAGGTCTTTAGGATTCTGCCAACTTTTTTTTCTTTTTCCTTTTTTTTTTTTTTAAGAGAGGGAGGGGGGTAGGGACAAAGGGAGAGGGAGAGAGAGAATTTTCAGTAGGCTCCAGGCTCAGCACAGAGCCTGACATGGGGCTTGATCTCACAAGCCTGAAATCATGACCTGAGCTGAAATCAAGAGTTAGATGCTTAACTGACTGAGCCACTCAGGTGCCCTAACTTTTTTTTTCCTAAAATAAATATTCAGTCTAGTTTTTTTTTTTTTTATATGGCCTATTCTGCCAGCCATATTATCTTTAACTCTATCATGAGCACCAATGTTCTTTCCATTCTTATAACTATGGAATATGTGAGATTATCGTTCATTCCACATATTTGTCAACCAGGTTAGTAGGTACTGCTTTTATCATTTTGACTGAATAAAGAAATTAAAAGTGGCTAAATATGTGTAAGACATTCCCACTAACATAATCTGCCTTTTCTATTTACCAGGTTTTTGGTAGCAACTGTCTGACTGACTACATTCTTGTCTTAAAGAAGATCTACTTTTCTTAGAATTGTAGGCTTTTTTTTTTTTCTTGGTGCGATGTCTGTGCTATAGAAATTTTAGCCATTGCTTGCTTTACTGCAGTTCAAAGCATTGACCTGATTTCTTTTCATGTCATTGCTATTCTATATTGTTAAGGAAATGAGCCTCATTCAGAGATGTAGTCTATTTTAGTCACTTTTAAAAACTAAAGAATGAATTGTTTAAAGTCAAAACACATTTCCTCTGTGGAGTAATTATATATGGCTCCACAGCCTATGGCATGGAGAAATAAAATAATCCCCAATGCATAGCGTTGCATACTAAATAATGTCCACATACTGCTCTGGGTTAACTATAAATTCTCACTAGTGTTATTTAAAAATTATGTGGCAAAGCTTCTAAACCACTCAATGGACCTTTAATTCTTCTTGCTGATGCCCATAGTTAAACTGTTTGCCATTTTCTTAGATGCCTTCTTTTCATTCTTCATATTTATTACTATATTTTACTGGTAAATTATTTCTGGAAATTATACAAGTTAAAACTTGCATTTTTATCAAATCCATGGATATTTACTATTTTTCTTCATGGAAATACGACCTAACTTTGAGTAAATTACACTCACCTCAGGCACACCAGCTCTGTACCTATAATAATCTGTGTAACAAAGGAATTGTGAGCTTTATTTAATTTGTTGAACTAGATAAAAATAGTTTGGGACCTTTAAGTCACATCTCTGAAGGTATGAAATATCATCATTGTACTTCCTGTGATTTAAAATGATATTCAAATATGTAAAATGCTATAGATTGCTTTGAGTAATATGGACTTTTAACAATATTGGTTCTTCCAATCCATGGGAATAGAATATCTTTCCATTTTTTTATATCATGTTCAATTTCTTCCATCAGTGTTTTAAAGTTTTCAGAGTCCAGGTCTTTCACTCCTTGGTTAAGTTTCTTCCTAGGTATTTTATTATTTTGGGTAGAATTGTAAATGGGATTGTTTTCTTAATTTCTCTTTCTGATACTTTATTATTAGTGTATAGAGATGCATATTAATTTTGCATCTTATGACTTTACTGAATTCATTTATTAGTTCTAGCAGTTTTTTGGTGGAGTCTTTAGTGTTTTCCATATAGAGTATCATGTCATCTGCAAATAGTAAAAGTTTTACTTCCTTACCAATCTGGATGCCTTTTATTTCCTTTTCTTGTCTGATTGCTGTGATTAGGGCTTTCAGTACTACCTTGAAAAAAAGTAGTGAGAGTGGACATCCTAGTCCTGATCTTAGATGAGAAGCTCTCAGTTTTTCTCCCTCAAAGATGGTATTAACTGTGGATTTTTCATATATGACTTTTATTATGTTGAGGGATATGTTCCCTCTGAACCTACTTTGTTGATAGTTTTTGTCATGAATGGATGTTGTACTTTATCAGATGTTTTTTCTACATCTCTTGAGATGATTATATGGTTTTTGTCCTTTCTCTTGTTAATCTGATGTGTCATGTTGATTAATTTATGAGTAATGAACCACCCTTGCATCGCAGGAATAAATACTACTTGATTTTAGTGAATGATTTTTTTCATGTGTTGCTGGATTCAGTTTGCTAATATTTTGTTGAAGATTTTTGCATCTACGTTCATCAGAGGTATGGGCCTGTAGTTCTCTTTTTTTGTTATTGTCTTTTTCGGGTTTCAGTATTGGCAAATCTGGCCTTATAGAATGAATTTGGAAACTTTCTTTCCTCTTTTATTTTTGGAATAGTTTGAGAAGAATTGGTATAAATTCTTTAAGTGTTTGATAGAATTTACCTGTGAAAATTGTTAAAATGGCCATACTGCTCAAAGCAATCTATAGATTTAATGTAATCCCTATCAAAATACCAATGACAGTTTTCACAGAACTAGAACAGATATTCCTAAAATTTGTATGGAACCCCAAAATACCCTAAGTAGCTGAAGCAGTCTTGAAAAAGAAGAACAAATCTGGAGGCATCACTATCCCAGATTTCAAGATATACTACAAAGCTGTAGTAATCACAACAGTATGGTAATGGCACAAAAAACAGACATATCAATCAATAGAACATAATAGAGAATCTAGAAATAAACCCACACTTATATTGTCATCTACTACAGAGGAGGCAAGAATATACAATGGGGAAAAACAGTCCTTTCAACAAATGATTTTGGGAAAACTGGACAACTACATGGAAAAGAAACTGGACCACTTTCTTACACCGTTACACAAAAATAAACTCAAAATGGATTAAAGACTTAAATATGAGACCTGAAACTATAAAACTGCGAGAAGAAAACATAGGCAATAATTTCTTTTACATCAGCCATAGAAACATTTTTCTAGATAGGTCTCCTCATTCAAGAGAAACAAAAACAAAATTAAAATCTTGTGATTAAACCAAAATAAAAAGCTTTTACACAGCAAAGGGAAAAATCAACAGGACAAAAAAAAAATCTACTCAATGGGAGAAGATATTTTCAAATGATATATCTGATAAGGGGTTACTATCCAAAATATATGAAGAACTTATACAACTCAATATCAAAAAAAATCATATTTAAAAAATGGACAGAGGACACATAGACATTTTTCCAAAGAAGACATACATATGGAATGAGGACATATGAAAAGGTGTTCAGCATTACTAACCATCAAGGAATTGCAAATCAAAACAATTCCTTTATAGCTGTCAGAATGGCATAAACAAAAACAAAAATGAAACACACACACACACACAAGAAATAGCAAGTGTTGGCAAGAATGTGGAGAAAAAGAACCCTCATGCACTATTGGTGGGAATGAAGATTGGTACAGCCATGGTAGAAGGCAGTGTAGAGGTTCTTTAAAAAATTAAAAGTAGAATTATCCTATGATCCAGTAATTCCACTACTGGATATTTTCCCAAAGCAAATGAAAACACTAATTCAAAAAGATACATTCACCCTTAAGTTTATTGCAGCCTTATTTACAATAGTCAAGATATTGAAGCAATTCAAGTGTCCATTCATAGATGAATGGATGTGGTGTGTGTATATACAAATACACACACACACCATACCCTATATATAAAGATGTGATGTACACACACACACACACACACACACACACTGGAATATTATTCAGCCATTTGCAACAACATGGATGGACCTAGAGGGTATAATGCTAAGTGGAATAAGTCAGTTAGAGAAAGACAAATATCATATGATTTCACTCATATGTGGAATTTAAGAAACCAAACAAAGAAAAAAAAGAGACAAAAAAACAGACTCTTAAATACAGAGAACAAACTAATGGTTACCAGAGAGGAAGGGGGTGGAGGAGAACAGGTGAAAGAGATAAGTGGGAGTAAGAATATACTTACCTGACCACTGAGTAATGTATAGAATTGGTGAATATTTGTATTGTACACCTGAAACTAATATAACACTGTATGTTCATTATACTTCAATTAAAAAGTATGAATTTCTTTGAAAATTCTATGTTCATTCCTAAGCTCCCTTTAGATGAAACCATTATGCCTTCTGTTATTATACCCAGAATTTATTAAGCACAAACTATGGATTAGGGACTGTGTTTGGCCTAAGAAAACACATCCCAAACTCCTGCTTCTAAGGGGCTTGGAGTCTGGAGGGGCAGGCAGAGCTGTAATACAGCTTTTCTATGAGGTGGTAAACATTTAACATAGGAATAGAAGGGTTCTTAGGTGGCATGAAACATAGAGAACCCAACCTGGGGCTTGGTTGACAAAGAAAAGGCAAAACAAGGGGAGAGGGAAGCTGTTTCCTTGAGTTCCGAGGTTAAGCAGACCTCCAGGAGCACTAGAGGGAATGGTCAGTGTAGGTAAAGGAAGTAGCGGATGTGCACACAGGAAAAGATGAAGAGCATGTGACCTGTTGGTGAGCCCTTCAGGAGTAGGATGTACTGTAGTTTAATTGCAGGTACTTACGAGGAGAGTTGCAGAAAATGAGACTAGAAAACTAAGCTGGAACCCAACGCAAATTATTTTTAGTGCCTGGATTAAGATGTTGGATTTAAGCAATGGATGATTTTGAAAGCACAGTCTGTATAACTTGCTGAAAAATTGGATGTGGGACTGAGCAGGGAGGTGTCTAGAAGTCTGCCTTGGATACCTATTAAAATCAGTAACTTACTTGAATGTATCTATAAAACTACTAAAAGGAATATTCAAATTTAAAGAAGTATAAAAATGACTTTGTTTTTATTTTTTTTTCCCCAGTGGGAGAGACTTCTGAGAGTTGCCCGGAAGCCACTGATTTTTTGTGCCACGACAAGAAGTGTGTTGCATCCCACCTTGTCTGTGACTATAAGCCAGACTGCTCTGATAGGTCTGATGAGGCTGATTGTGGTAAGTGGATCTGTCTGCTCTGATGTAGCCCATTCAGCACAGATTTCACTTTATTGGGAAAGTAACATACTGGCATTGATGACGGAGAGGAAATGTTCTTTTCATGCACCAGAGTAGATTTAAAATAGCCAGAACCTTTTTTTTTCCAGCTTCTCTATCCACACATCCAAATCGCAGCCCTCTCAACCGTTTTACCCCAATACTAAACACCACAGCAAATCTTGTCAAAAAATTTCTCAACATGTCATTGTGCAGAACTGCATGGGGTGTCAGAATTTTAATCACCAGAAACTGACCTATCTGTCTACATTTCTTCATTGGTTTTCATTTCCTTTTCCATTTTATGGAAAGATAAGGCTAAAAATGAGCGCTTCAAATAAATACGAGTAAATGATTAATTTTATCAATTACATTGCTCTGGGAAAAGAGAACTAGATTGGCCACATTGTTTTTTTTTTATTCAAACTTTAATTCAAGTGATTTTTAAAAGTCATGCATAAAACCAAGTATGTAGTTTTCAAATATGAGCATGTATTTAAATCCAAAAAAAATTTTTTTTGTATTTCTTATTAATGAGCCTTCATAGGGAACCTTGCTACCATATAGGCTACCTTTTGCAGTTAGGGTTTGCTGCATAGCAAACTCCCTTAAAGGTTAGTAGCCTAAAAAAGTTTCATTTTGCTCTCAATTTTGTGGATCAGTAATTCAGAAAAGAATCAGCGAGGCAGGTTCTCATCCACATGGCTCCAACTGGTATACCTGGAACTGGAGTGTCACTTTCAAGATGGCTTCCTCCCCTCTGGGTTTGGCACATTGGTACTCTTTGGTCTCTCTGTCTGGCTTGACATAGCATCTCATTCTCCAGGGCAGTCTAACGTAGCTTGGGCTTTCCATAACAGGGCCGTCACGGGACAGCCAGATATCTTGCATGGGATTGGTTTTTACCAGAGTAAATGCTCTCAAGAGCAAGTATTCCAAGAGCCACAGGAAAAACAGGAAGAATTCGTATGACTTAGCCTCGGAAATTCTAGAATGTCACTCTTGGCTCTTTCTAATGGTCATGCAAATTAAAATGTCTAGCTTCAATTCAAAGAGAGAAAGGGGATAGACTCACCCTTTGGGACAATGTCATGCATGTACAGGAAGGGAGTACCACAGAAGTCATGTTCCAGTTTTTCTTTTTAACTCAGTATCATTTTTATTCCTCAGGATCTTAGAGTAATGATGCTTCTGAAGTGTTCATTTTATCATCTTTTTTTGTATTTATTAATTTTCTTAAATTGTGGTAAAATGTACATAACATAAAATTGACCATTTTAACCATTTCTAACTGTATAGTTCAGTGGCATTAAGTGCATTTGCGTTGTTGTCCAGATACCACCACTCATCTCCAGAACATTTTTTCATCTGGAAAAACTGAAACTCTATACCCATTAAACAATTAACACCCCATTTTCCCTCCCCCAGCCCCTGAAAGCCACCATTTGATTTTCTGTTTCTATGCATTTGACAGTTTGGGTATGTAATACCAGTATGTGGAATCATACAGTATCTGTCTTGCTGTGATAGGCTTATTTCACTTATCATAAATTTCTCAACATTAATGCTATATTTTAATTTTAAACCAAAGTGTCAAGGAAGTGAAAATCACTGGCACTTCTTAAGACTGTACTATCAGTGCTACAGTATTATAATCTTATTTTATAAGCGATTATGTATTTCCTTTATAATATATGCCCATTCTCAAATGAAATTTATAATATATTGAAAAATACTTTATAGTGTTCTTTTTTTAAAAGCTTATATTTAAATTTAAGTTAGTTTTCTTTCCCTAGTGTTCTTCCTAGCTTTTTTTTCTTTTTTTTTATTATGTTATGTTAATCACCATACATTACATCATTAGTTTTTGATGTAGTGTTCCATGATTCATTGTTTGCATATAACTTGGGACTTCCTAGCTTTTTTAAAAGCACTCCAAAAAAATATATTTTTTGATACTGACTGTAGAGAACCGATTGCAATGGAGCTCGAAAAACCGCTCCAAAACGTTTGTAAAATCACTATTTTCCCCACCAGGCATAACAAGTAGAGAGTATTTAGAAATCACCACCAAAACAAAATAAAAATTCTAAGGGAAGAATAATTTGAACATGATGACATTGACATAATAAACCAGTGAGGGGAAGGATAGCTGTTCACGTGCACAAAGAAAAAATAGTTACAGGAAGTACATTTTCTTCCTCTCATTTCAAGATGCACATGTATTGAACATATTCATAGAAAAATTATATTCTTCCGTTTATTGCTATTCTTAGTATGGGCTAGGAACAACTTTCTAAATGTTGAATTAGTAGAAAAATGAATAAGACATCGTCTTAGACTTAAGCAACTTACTTCCTACTGTGGGGGAAGGGCAGGGGGATATATTAAAATACAGTGTTCTTTGCTTTTTGAAAAAGTTAGTTATAAAAGAATTCTGATTACTTTTGGAATGTAGCAAGTGCTATTAATAATAAGGTTATCCCAGTGTATTTGGGGAGTGCCGATGAAGAATAGTGGGTGTGTGTACGCGTGCATGCGCGTGCCCGGGCAACGTAAAGTATCGGCTTGTAAAACCTAAAAAGTTACTAAGTATTTTGGTTTTTCAAATGTGAATGCTGCTTTTTTTTTTTTCCCCCCTTGGCTTCACTCATTTTTCCTCTCAGGCTCCTTTATATGATTTTTATTTTTCCCACAGCTATTTGAAGTATTGATGTAAAAATACACAAAGGCAGTTTTGATTTTCAGAACCTGAGTCAGTTGCACACTCATATTTGTTAGTATTACCTACAACTTTGGTGGACAACTACATGCAGTATTTGATTTTATTAAAATTAAAACAATATGTTGACAAATGAAATAGTCACTTTCCTTAAGACCTTTGATAGGCTTTGTTCACATCCAAAAGGAACACTACACAATACACATGGGTATACCGGTGACTTATTGATTCTGCAAAGTGACTTCATCACTTATTTTATGTTGATATTCTTTTGGATACACTGGAGGCATCGGGGTTAGATTCCTGCAATCAGATAACCTGTTGTGGATGATGAAATAAATTACAAAATTTTCAAAATGGCCTTTGGAGAAATATAAGGAAAAAATGGACCTTTGGTTTATTAAACTGAAGTCTTCATTTTGATGCTGACCCTCCTATGCTGAGCAATTATTTAAATTCTCGGGGACTCGTTTCCTCATCTTTATATTAGATAGAATCATATCCATTCTATAGAGTACTTTGAGAATTAAATGGCATAAAGAACATATTTGTTTAGTGTTCTAGGATTAATAATGTTAGCCTCTTTCATTTCATTATTTTTATACTCTCTTGAAATTTGTCAGTCATGGTGGATGTTATTATATGTACTTTATATGCTTATCAGAAAATAAACTCAGCGATTCCTCATAAGTTTTTACTGTAGGTTATAAACAAAGATAAATTTTTCTTTTACATCTCTAACTTCTGTTGCAAAAATTCATGGTTTAGAATAAATGAAATCGATTCTTTTTAAAAGAAATAGTTAAGTAAAAAAATGTGCTCTTTTCTTACATGGAACAAAATTATCACCTAAAGCCTGTGTTAAGTGTTCCTTGTACTCTAGGCTAGGGATGTGCAGGGTATGGATGCATGCATTCTCTGCTGCCTTTTACAACAGTTACAAACATCACGGGCTCCTGGGTGGCTCAGTTGGCCGCTGCCTTTGGCTCAGGTCATGATCCTGGAGTCCTGGGATCGAGCCCCATGTCGGGCTCCCTGCTCAGCAAGGAGCCTGCTTCTCCCTCTCCCACTCCCCCTGCTTGTGTTCCCTCTCTCGCTGTCTCTCTCTCTGTCAAATAAATAAATAAAATCTTTAAAACAAACAAACAAAAAACCCCAAATATCATTATCCAGTCAGAGCCTTCTTTCCCACTGAACCCAGTCTTCAAAATCCTTTGCAATGCAGCATTCTATGAAGCCATTTCATGCTGAGGAGAAAGTATTAAATATCCCTGTATTATGCTTTGTGGTATAGCAAAATAAGGTGCATATGTGAATATGATGAATTAAAAATAATTATGGGGCTAGCTCTTAAAAAATATATAGGTAAGTTGATCAATATGTACACTAACCATACCACTGTATGGCTGAATACCATACCACTGGGGAAATGCCATTTGTTTAAATGTTGTTGGTAATGCTTTTAAGTCTATTCCAGGAATCATGACAAAGATCACAATTTAGAAAATACTTTATCAAAAGCAATAACCATTTTGAAAATACCAACCACATAATTATCATCAAGAAATATTACAAAGTTCCTCATATCATTTATGATTTAATAGGTATATATGGAACCACTGTGGGCAGTAGTAATACTGCCCACATAGAAACGTTTATAGTAATTCAATGGTAAACAGTTACAGTGACAATCCACAATAAAGAAGTAATGAATTTCCAAATGAGTAGTAATAACTATAATCGCTGTTAAGGGCCATAAAACCCACATGCACATATACTCTGATGTGGTCTGGAAAGGGAAAGATAGGACATAAGTTGAACATTCAAAGATGGGTATGATTTGCTAGATGGAATGAAGAAGATACATTAATTAATATACTCGTAGCAGAAACTTCAGCATCAACCAGCTTAACATCAAGGTAATTCTTGTTAGTTGCCTGGCCCTCCTTTGTGTTTCTTAAAAACAGAACTCCCGGGTGCCTGGGTGGCTCAGTTGGTTAAGCGACTGCCTTCGGCTTGGGTCATGATCCTGGAGTCCCGGGATCGAGTCCCACATCGGGCTCCCTGCTCAGCAGGGGGTCTGCTTCTCCCTCTGCCCTCTTCCCTCTCGTGCTCTCTGTCTCTCATTCTCTCTCTCAAATAAATAAATAAAATCTTTAAAAAAAAAAAACAGAACTCCCAATTTTATTTGCGGTGGCTTGTGACCAACTACAAATACCGTCTTTTCCAAACTTCCTTGTAGCTGCCAGAGGCCAATGAGATACACATGGGAATTTGGGGGAAGGTATCTCTTTTAGAAGGAAAAACACCAGACTAGAAAAAAAGTGTCTTCTCCTTTCCTCTTCTCACTTCTATCAATGCCTTGAACATATGTGATACGAGGAAGTACCACAGTCCTCTTGCAACCATGAGTGAGCAGGAGGATGACAAGATGACAGAAAGAACAGATGGAAAATATGTGCCTCACAACCACACAGTTGAACCACAATACTAACTTTAAACGGACAACTTCCTGGCTTCTGTTTAATTGAGATGAATTAATTCCTGTCTGTTTCAGCTCCTACTACTTGAGTTTTCAGTTGCTTGGAACAAACCAATTTTTAACTAATACAATAAGGAAACTGTATTATCTCCAGTAGCAAGAGGTCAAAAGCAAGGAATCCTAGAGTTGGTTGATTTTAGCAACTTCTGTTATCAAAAATTAGAACTACATGGACTCCTTCCTTCTTAATTCTGTGCCATCTTCATGTAACTGACTTTGTAATAAAGTCAGCTACCCATATAATCTCTTCAGTCCCATAGTTCACATCTTTACAGTGATATCCTGAGAAAGAATAAATGGATTTTCTGTCTTTTGATTTGTTTTTAAGAACAAGGCAAACTTTTCCTAGGTGCCTTTTCCACAATAGGGTTCAATGTCTAGAATTGTATTCCAGGATTATGGCTAAACTAAGGAGAGAACAATGCTCATCACGATTACTTAGATAACTTATAAGTCATCTCTGGCTATCTGAGTGAAAGAAGGTGATTATAGTCAAATAAAATAGCAATTCTGTCCTCTTCAAGAGAGGAGAAGAATGAATGATAAATGAACCCCCAAATGCTAGAGAAAACATTCCAAAAATAGAGGAAAGTAGTCCTAAACATAAAAGTTGAAAAAAATCAGTTTTTATTTAAGAAATAATTTTCTGAAAAATTTAGTTGGCATAGAGGCAATTTTAAGATTCAGTTTCAAAAATATTTTGCATCAAAGGAAAGGTTATTGTATGCAAGACAAGGGGTTTAGGAGAGTGTATTCAAACAATGTGAAAAACCTGATATTTTGAGCAATGGAAATAACACAAGAGCATTCTTAAAGATGATTAATGTGGTTTGGGTTTGTAAAGTTGATCAATGAAGGCTACACTGAAAAAAAAAAAAAGGGCTCTTAAAATAAACCAGGGGCTTGGACCAATGGAACTGGAACAGGGGTTATAAACTTCAAGGGAAGGAGAGAGTTAAGTTCTCAAAGAGAGAACCTACAAGTGTTGGTGATAGATTGAATATGGGAATGAGGAATGTAGAACCAAAGGTAAGTCCAAAGGTAGAATTTTAAAAAGAGGGAGAAGATTCATGCTCTGAACTTAATCAGTAATCTCAGGGAGAAGAGCTCATTTGGAGAGGTGATGATGAGTTCGTTTTAGGCTTTTTGATTTTGCGACGACAGTTGCATATTCCAAGTTGAGTATTCAGCAAGCATTTGAAGATAAACACCTGCATTCCATCCTGGCTGTAGATTTGTAGGCCATCTGCATTAAAGTGTGAAGGACCATGGGAAAGGATAAGTGAAAGCTGTACAGAGTGAGAAATTTAAGCATATAAAATTCAATCAAGAGGGGCACCCTGGCTGTGTCTGCAAGTTGTAAGAAAGGAATTGGTAGAAAATGTGAGATTGAAGGACCTGGAATAGCTCTCTAACTGAAATAAATGGAGCCATAGAATGCTAATAGCTATAGAATGCTTGATAAGGTGCTGAGATCATAAACTGGGATTAGCCCTAGAGAAGAGAAAGGAAAAATGACATAATTTAGAGGTAGAGAGAATGAAATATAAGAGAATTTATCCTGATTGTATCTACATCTTTAGAGTCATGCATAAAGTCATATGTTAGATAGGTGGAACAGAAGGTTCAAGGGTGGTTACAGAGAATGAAAAAGGATATAGAATAATTATTATAGGTCCTGTGTGTTAGGGAGTCAGTTATGTAGAAATGCAATAGTGCAAATCCTGTATGTGACATCATTCTAAAGAACACATAATGGCTGTTTTATGTTTATATTGGAAGATTCTGCATGTTTGCAGTTGTGTTAGCTAAACGCTTGGAGAACTAGATTTCTTACTTTTAGCCATATTGCATAGCATAGTATAAACTTATTTATATCATGATACTAAAAAGATAAACATAGGAGGGGATATAGAGAGCCCATAAATAAGCATATAAAATTAAATGCATTATATGCCATGTCGAATGAATGCAAGAAATGCATATAATTAAAAATGATTCTAGACTTTAGGGATAAGATGCAATCATGCCTGAGAAGTGAAATGCTGATATTTAATGAAAATATGGTCAGGAATCCATAAGATTTTCTATAGAATTATTTAAAGCTTTGTTTTCGATATGTTTGGCATCCATTTTAACAGCAAGACTTTATTCTGATGCAATTTCTTTATGCTAGTATTAGTTTTACATTAAGAAGAAGTTATGAACGGGAAACCATCTGGAAAAGAAATATTAAAAGCAACCTAAATGTCATCTCTCTAAAGAGGAAGGAAAAGTCAATAACAATTTCAATTGATTCATACTGGTTAAATCACACAGTCATTCTGTCTATACAGCACAGTTTTACAGTGAATGCTCAAAAATAATAACTGTTCTGCAAAAAAAAGTTAAAAATGAAAGCAGATATCAATTGTATTATGATGGTAGTTTTCACAGGTGACTAAGTAGTAGACTTTCAGCTATTATCTGGTAATTTTTCTCATTATGAATAACTTAACTTTTAATGAATTATCAATCAGCACTTAGAACTTTTTTTAATGACTAGCTCTGAAATGTTGTATGTGGATGGTTAGTATGGTATGCTGAGAGGGTTTGTGTCCTCTACCGTTTACTACTTCTCCAAAGGCACCTTTTTTTAGTTAATGACTTTGCCCTTCTAATGGTCTATGCTGTTCAAACACCAGTGTGAACACAGGGACTGAATTAAACTTCCAGACAACTGAAGCTGTTGATTTATTCGATCTGACTTATCTGTATTATCATAATATTTTGTTCATTGCTCATGTGTAGACACAGTTTTATGTATCACCTATAATATTATTAGTCAATCCATACAACTTCTTCACGGATAAATGACAATATTCATGTGCTGCCTCTAGATTTTCTGATAAAAAAAAAAAGCTACAGTGTACAATTGAAATTACCAGTGGATGCAAATGTCCTGGTTCTTTAAATTTATGAATAAGTAATTAAAACAGGCAGGCACTGATTCTGAACAATCACAAATGTAGTATAATACCAAGTGTAATGTCCATTTCCAGAACATTCTATTACTATCTTCATTTCCATAGGCCGTTATACAAACACAGCAGGAAGTTGCCATTTTGAAACTTCAGGAAACTGGACCACAGCCTGCGGTCTTACTCAGGACTCTCAAGATGACTTGGACTGGGCCATTGGCACCAGAATTCCTGCCGAAACATCTAGTCCAGACATTGATCACACCCCAGGTAAGTCTAGCAGAGATTCCCAGGCTCAGTAATTCACCCCTGGCTTAACCATTTGAGTGAATATCAGAGAGCATTCCTTGTGTCTGTGTGTGGGTAGAGCTGAATAGCCTTCATGAGAAGAGAGTTAATCCTTCTTTGTAACCTCTGAATTGTTGAATAGACCCAGAACTAACATTGCTACTACAGCAAGGAAACCCATGACTCCTGTTTTAAGAGACACACAGATTTTATTTACTCAACACGTAGGGGACATTCAGGTGAATGCATGCAGTAGGCAGAAGTTAGCAGTGATGAGTTCTCTCGCGGCCACAGTGGCCAGCAGCTGGCCACCAGTGTTGTTCCAGTCCCTCTGAAGTGTAGGGGCTGAAATGTAAAAGGTAAGTGGTGATGGAAGGAATGAACATCAACAAACTCTTGACAGGGTTTGCCTCCTTCCTTGTGATTTGAAGTTAATGGAATCCTTAATGGTCTTACAGGTAATAAGGTCAGAGCAGAAGTAAGCTAGTATTCTTATTTACTTTTACCCTGAAGTCTTGCCTACTCAGCACTTCCCTCCCCACCCCCACCTTAGGAATCTAACTTTTGTTAGGGATAAAAAATCATTTTAGAGACAAATTTTCTTAGGGATAAAACTCGTCTAAATATTCTTAGGGATAAAATCTAGTTTTTCTTAGGGATAAAAAAAAATAACCTGAGATATTTGTGCTGGTTACTTTTATGTGTCAGCTTGGAGGTGTCTTTGGATGAGGTTAACATTTAAATCAGTGAACTTTGAGTAGATTACCCTCCATAATGTGGGGGTGGGGTGAGGGGGCTCATCCAATCAATTGAAAGCCTAAATGGAACAAAAAAGACTGGCCTCCCTGAGCAAGAGGTAATTAATTCCCCCCAAGGCTGCATTCGGACTTCATCTGCCCCGTTGGCTTTCCTGGTCTCCAGCCCACCAGCCGACACTGTGGATTAGGGGCTTACCAGCCTCTGCAATCACATGAGCCAACTCCGTATGTAAATGTCTTTCTAGATTCATACACATTTTATTGGTTCTGCTTCTCTGGAGAATTCTAATACAATATTACTCAAAACAGTTGAAGCATAGGCGTGATGAAAAAGAACAAGATTATAATGGAATTAATTAAAATGACTTTTCAAAGGAAAAGTATGCAAGATTGTCTCAGCCATTTTTATGACTAGCAAAAGGAGAAGAATACTTGTATTATTTATATATTTAGGCAGATTGAAAACATCATGACATTCAATTACAGCCTACGTCTTCAGTTTTGTTTGAAAGTTGGCCCCTAATGCATCTCCAGATTGAATATTCTTACTCCTTTTGACCTGCCAAATTGTATTTCTTCTTCCTCACCAAGAGTGGTTTGGGTTTTTTTTGTTTTGTTTTGTTTTGTTTAAAGCATGAAGTTAGTATACACAAGATTAGAGGTTAATGGAACTGGATAGGGAATCAAGACACTGAGGTCAGTAATTAGGAGGATTTAATATATAACAGAGATCAATTCAAGAGGGAAAAAGATATAGTCTTTATTAGTATGGTGTTGGCATATCTGGTTATATGGCTGAAATGAAATGACATTAAGCCCCAGTTTTACTTTTGTGTATTTTATATACAGAAATATATTTGGATGGATTAAAGACTTAAATGCAACAAGTAAAAACAATAAAACTCTTGCAAGAAAACAGAGGGTAAACTATGTGCAATGTAAAGACATGGTCTCACTTCCAAAAGCCCAGAAGCTGCAAAAGAAAAGATGCACATATTTAATGGTGAAAAATTATAGCCGTGGCCTAAAAACTCCATAAGCAAAATTAACAGGCAAATAGTAGGTTAGAAAAAAAAAATTTTGTGTGTCAATTACAAGTAGGATACATATAGATAACTCTTAGAGACTTACCGGAGATGAAAATTTTAACAACCAGAAAAGATCTACATAACTCATTCGCAGATGATCAAATTCAAATAATCAACAAAAATATTAAATGATGCTCAAGTCCACAAGTCATCAGAAAAATACAAATCAAAATAAAAAGATGGGGAAAAGTTTTCAAAAGCCACCAATAGATGGCTGAGAAATGGAGAGCAGGTAGCTAGAGAATACTCATCCATGGTTATGGGAAATTTTCCATTTTGGAAAGCATTCTGACCATATAGAAATAAAAGGACCACCACATAAGCACGTATGTATAAGGATATTTACCTCAGCATTGTTTGTAGTTGAAAATAATGGGAAATAAAATGAATGTCCCTCATTCATACAGTCATTTATTTATTCCCTTGTTCGTTCATTCATTGGCCTGTTGAATGCTAGGCACTGTTCTAGGTGCTGGGGATACATTAGTGAGTAAAACACAATTGCCACAGTGGAGTTCATATTCTAGAAGGAGGGAAAAGCTAATTGAATCAACATGGTAAGTAAATAAAGTATGTGGCCCATTAGAAGTTGAGTGGAAAAAGGAATAGAGTAAGTAGGATTGAGAAGGCATATGGATGGTTGGGGAAGGATTACAGTTTCTAGGCTGGTCAATTAGGCTGTGGTGGGAAAATGCCATTCAAAAAAGACTTGAAGGAGGTGACTAGTGAGCCTTTTGGATTCCTAAGCAAGAGTATTGTGGTCAGAGGGAGGGCCAGTGCCAAATGCCCTGAGATCAGAGTATGCCCGATGGGTGTGTCCCAGGCCCCGAGTGATGTTTTAGGTGATCTAATGAATTATTGTGGTACTGTCCTGTGTGATGTTTGGCCGTCTTCCTGGCCTCTAGCCACTAGATACCAATAGCGTTCATCTTGCTGCTATTGACAACTCAAAAGTTCTTTAAAAATTGCCAGCTATCCCTGGGGGACAACGTCGCCCCCATTTGGGAACCTGGAGGAACAGCCTGGAGGCCAGTGTAACTTGTTAAATCCACAGCACGTAATATCATGCAGCCACTAAAAAGAGAAAGTTTAGCACTATACAGTTAATTTGTAGGGATTTTCAAAACATAATTTTTTAGGATTTTATTTATTTATTTGAGAGAGAGAGAGAGAGCACAAGCACAAGCAGGGGGAGCTGCAGAGGGAGAGGGAGAAGTAGGTTCCCCGCTGAGCAAGGAGTCTGATGCGGGACTCGATCCCAGGACCCTGAGATCATGACCTGAGCCAAAGGCAGACGCCTAACCAACTGAGCCATCCAGGCAACCCCCCCAAAACGTATTATTAAAGGCGTAAAGCAATACACAAAATGATTCTACAGTATGGTCCAATTTTTTCTAAAACAATGACTAATGCCCCCTTATTTGTGCACATGTATAACTCTACATAGGTATCTCTGTGAATAACTATGTGAGCATGGAGAGAAAGATAAAAAAAGGATATATGGGTTTATTAGCCTGGATTACTTGGATGAGTGATAAGGTTGGAGTAGAGGAGAGGGAGAATAAATCTAAAAATAAAAAGAAAATAAGTAAAACAGGAATTGCACCTCAAAAGAAAATCTAATGTACATGATGGTAGCACCTACATGTGTTTGTGGAAACTGTGGTGGGTATCTTTAAGTCTTACCATGGAAAAAACCTGAACAGTGATCTTTTTGCTCTCTTAATATTGATTTTTTCTTCAATATTTCTTTTCATCAATTTTACATCACTAAGTAATACATCTTTTCCTAAAAATTTAAATGTATAAATAAGCAGAAAAAAGAAAAACTTCTCTAGTAATCTCAGTAGAGTGATATAATCATCGGTAAGCTTTATATTTGTATATCTTGCCGTTCTTTCTTAATGCACACATTTTCTTTTTTCTTTTTTTTTTTTTTTTTTAAGATTTTATTTGACAGAGATAGAGAGCACAAGCAGGGGGAGCGGCAGGCAAAGGCAGAGGGAGGAGCAGGCTTCCCGCGGAGCAGGGAGCCCGATGCGGGGCTCGATCGCAGGACCCTGGAATCATGACCTGAGCCGAAGGCAAACGCTTAACCGACTGAGCCACCCAGATGCCCCAATGCACACATTTTCAAATAAAAATAGGTTTCCACTAGATTCAGTAATTTGATAAATATACTATGGCCGAGTTTATATGTTATGAAATATTTTTAACATGATATTCTACTTTTTGGATATAGCACAATTTATAAAAATTATCTAAGGGTATACTCTTAAATTATTTCCTAACACTTTCACTATAGTAACATCACAACAGTGAAAATACATTTAGATGAATTTTTTTTTTTTTACTTTTATGATAGTTCCTGAGAATAAATACTTACTTTTCTTTCTTGAGAACTTATGAGGAATAAACCAATTTTCATTTATGCTGCTAAGATCTCAACAGTCACATTTAGATACAGTGTCTGTGAGGTCTCCTGATAACATCTGCAGCAGTCTTTCCTTATCTTAAGACAGTATTTGGAAACTGCAGAGTATGTGTGCCAGTATAATACTACTAATGGTACAAAAGTGTAGTAGGCTCAGTTTAGGAAAAGATAAAAGTGTAATCATTGGACGTGGGAAATGTTCTGTGCATTGTTCAATGAGACAAACATGAGTGATCCATTGATATCTTTTAATGGAACAATTAAAGACTATTAATGGCTGCATGTATTTTCTCTTTTGAACTTTTATAGCTTGTGTGAGTTCATGAAAGACCACATGAAAAGTTTTGAATCTGGTCATTATGCAATATTGTGTACAAGTAATGTTGTCCACAGATAAAGAAGTAATCATTCTGACAGAATACTTTATTATCCTCCCTGTTAATCACTACTTGAGACAGTATATTTTTACAGAATACTCGCTTCAAAGCAGTCTGATTATATCATCCTTGCTACACTAATATGGCTCCCTGAACTTGTGTAGGTATCTCTGAAAAAAATGGGCCGCTAAATAAACTGTAAGGACATTAATTAATTTTGACCCTCGGGGAAAAACAAAATTCTTTATGAGAAGGCCAACAGATTCAAAGAGCCTATGGTCTATTTCTAAACATCTCAATGTTGCTGTTAGTTGAAATTGTATTT